TATTAGATATAAAATATAATTTATAGATATATTTCGCGATATGTATATATATATATATATATATAAATTCATTCGCGTGATCAAACAACAGATTGCTGTTCTTTCGGAAAGGAAATAGCTTCGGGCACTCGTTTTTATCGTGAAACGTGCCCGCATCGTGGAGGCTGCGCGCGCCCATTCATTTCGAGATAAAAAGAATAAAGGACTAACGACGCGCAGGTTTGCCGAGGTGTACACACGAGACGGGTCAAACCGAGACATTCCCGAACTCGAAAATCCACTTAACCATTCGGAGAAGCAAGATTAGAAGGCAGGTCTATGAGTAGCCTGCAAGTTGCGCTATCTGCGCCTTTCAGGGCCTGAGGGCCGGGAGAGACCCCTCACCGAGAGGTAGACTGATAAGAGGGCGGCTTTTAGTCGCATCGCGACAAACTACCCTGAGAATGTGCGGACGGAGAATGGTCGAAAAAAGGGAAAAAGAAACGGGACAGATAATGAGGAATGAGCTTAAAAGGAATGCTGTCAATTATATTAAAAAAGCACCAACAGACTGCGTGGATATATATATATTTGTAAATATAAGAGAGAGATTTAAAGCATAATGTACATATATACCTATATACATACAGAGTATTTTAAAGTTAAATGATCAAATTTTGCCAGTATGTTTTATGAATAGAAATAAGAAAAAAAAAAAAAATGTATAAATATAGATCCAGAAACATTTTATTATCACGTTACATTGAAAAAAAGAAGTTTGTTTAATTTTCTCATGCAAGATTGACATCATTAGGAGATTGGATTTAATACTACGAATTTTATATATCTATCTTGCTTTAGTTCAGTGAAAATACATCATTGATCCTGTCTATCAGTTTAAGCTTTTAAATCTTTCTCTCTCTCTCTCTTTTATATTTACAGCATACATAGAAACTACTGAACCTAATTCATATCATCAGAGAGTGCATTGTAGATTTTTGCTATTCGAGAAATCGCGACATGATTTACTATTTCACGTGGGAAAAACGAGTCCTGTGCCCCGTGTAGGTGGTTACTATAAACGTATACTCTCGCCTCGTGTGGCCTCGATGCTCATGATCTGTTACACAGGGTGGTCGTCCCTCTGCGCTATCAAAGCACTGCTTTCGAATAGATTTATCTCTTCGCCGATCGTTAATTATATCCAATGTAAATTAACGGCAGCGTGCAACCTTGCGATATTGAGTACTGACGTTTCTTTGCGCAATGGCATATACTTCCTCTATTAATTACTTATTTTAATTTTTCCAATTCTAATATCTATTAATTTTTCATTCAAATATTTTTATTCTAATTTAGCATTTTTTACCATAGTTAAATATGTAACGAGATGTTACACGATATTAACTTTCCTTCGAGAATAGATATTCTAAAATCGATAAATATAAATGAGTGTATTAGTAAACGAATAAATTTTACATTTGTAAATAGATGAGGTAATGAAAGAGATTTGCGGACCTTGTAACCACGTAGCAGGATGCCAGGACCGATATGAGGGCCGCGATGGCGAGGACAAGAGCGGCGACGTGCAGCGCCCTAACGCGATTCCGTAAAAGTCCATCGACCGATTCCGCCGAATCGTCGTACTTGCGATTAGGCTGCATGGTCGGCGTCGCATCGCGATTCACTGGACCATGATCCAGCATCTCGCGATCCATCGCGGAACGCGTCCGCTCCGTCTGCGTCTTTTTCCATGTGCTCCCCACGTCGCCATCGCCATCGTCGTCATCTTCGTCGTCATCGTCATCGTCAGCAGCGTTGCAATAGTCGCGGTTGTCGCAGCATTTTAATTTGGGCCAGGGCACGAGAACCCGAGGACCGGCCGGTGATTCCATGGCGTTGACCGATCGCGACCTCGTGACCCAGGACTTTGTCTCGCACAACAATGGCGTGGCACCCCTGCGTATACGATATTGCGAATTTATCAAGTTGATAAAGTTCCGTGAACCCGCGCTCGTTGCAGAGAGAGATATAACCGCGACGTCCAAGGCGACGTTTGTTACGCGATGTCTAATGTCGTCAAAGCATATCGCGATATGACTATTTCGCAGGCGATTATCAATTTCTTCTCTCTTAAAATGATAAATTATTTGGAATCAAGTTTCAATCCAAATTAGTTATTTCTACATCGAGATGGACATTGTCTCTTCCATTGACTTGAATCGAATGTGATTGAATTTCAAATTGGACGGCAAGACTTTCTGCAAAAACATATAAAAGGAGCAAGCAGCGACAGACGTATTAACATAATATCCGGATTTTGTTGAACGAATCACTGTCGCAACTACCACAGGCGGCGATCACGATAATGAATATTAATGAGACATTTAATAAAAATTGCGGAAACTTTTTCTCTCGATTATATCGTCAAGGTTATTCGTCGCACCATTACGCATTCCTGAATTTATATTATAGTATTGTCAAACTCGCACAAGACACATATCCCGTTTGTAAGAGGCATAATATCTACAAAAATTGAGATACAAAGTTAAAAAAAAAACTTTTTGCAAGAGATTTTTCTACATTTTAACAAAAGAACACGATTAGAATCATTTGTGTGTCATTGTTATCCTTTTCAGACAAGAGAAACATTTCAAATATTGTATCGCATGTGAAAAACATTATATATCTACTTATACATAATTTTCGTTAAAAATCTCGGCAGTAATTTATGATATACACACTCAGTGCATCCTCTTGTGACCGTACTTTCACCAATTTCTTGTCCCGTTGTCAGAATGCGTTCGGTGTAACAGAAGAATCTCGTTTTACAAGTATCGATGCCGGCTTCCTTGCAGGCTTTGCTCGTGCACACGCACTTTCTTCCTATGAAACATAATATTGTGTGAGACAAGACGGTCGAAGCGAATCTGAGCAGCTCTATAAATGTAAATTGGCACGTACATAACAATTTAAAATCTTGAGTGAAGATAAGAATCGCCAATTAAGAAAAAATATCAGAAAAATAATTTTTCTCAACGAAAATCATATTAAAATTTCTCAAAACATCATTACTCCCTTCTTTATTATTCGAAAATTAATTTTCGTCGACATGAAGAAATGATTTTTACAAAACTATGCGATATTTTAAGGATCCAATTTTCTTTAACAGTACGAAAAATTGATCATTTTTAGGATCTTTTTTTTTGGCGTTTTACACACGTTTTTATTGATGTTTAACAGTACGTCAGTATTTTTAAATGTTGAATATTTAGCTTTTTTGTTCAATACGAGTTTCTGCGCGTAACGTATTTGAAAATACATAGTGACGGTATGACATGCTGCTCTTCGTGTAATTATCTGAAATGAAAAAATTCGATCTAGTTTTTTTTTCTATAGAATATTTATGAGATACTGAAACCAAGTTTCATTAAAGAAAATTAAAAAATAACAAAGTATTGTAGTATTATTTTAAAATTAGATATATATCAATTTTTTAGTCATTTCTTGAAGGTCAGAAAAATATTAATTATTAATCTTTTAAATTCTAATTAGATTCAGTATTTTTTTTCAAAAAATGTTCTCTTTCATTTAAAAAAATTAAAGTTATTCGGTCTTTTAGTTTTCAAGATATCTGTTACATCAACTTTGTTCGTCATTCTATTTAATCTTATAACTCTATCAATTTTTTACGAATTTTTCCATAAAGTTGTAAAGATATTCTCCAGACATTATACTTTCAGAAAATGTAAAAAGATCAATTTTTTGGACCTTCTAAAGTAGACTGGGGCTTTACAAGTACAGTAGACCAATTGTATTCATTCTCCCATATGATCTGATTTTCTATATGTTATCGATTTGTTTTAACGAACCAAGTGAGGATGTTTAATTAATAGCGCGTCTCTCGTCGTCATTAACGAGCATCCTTTGCCAATTAAGGAACCCGGCGACAAGCGACCGATGACACGCGGCTCACTTACCTTCCACTTGCGCGAAGCTCGTCGGCAACGACACGATGCACACCGCGGCGAGGTATCCGGCTAACGATCGACCAATTATCGATCGACGAGCAGGCATCTCTTCTTTCCAAGAATCCCGAAAGTTGAGTTTATTGGGCCGCGGAACCTGAATCTGTCGCTCGCCGCCCGCTAAAACGACCGCGGGCCATAATCTCGCGATGATTTTCTCTCTCTCTCTCTCGGCGATTGATGGAGGAACAGTCGCGGGCACGAAGCAACCGTCTTATCGGTTCAAAGGACTATTTGGAAATGTTCGAAGGAGAAGAAGCTGTACCGCAAAGGCTGAAACGCGACTATACTCACGCGCTGGCACCTCTAATTTTAGCGCCTCCCACTAAAAAGAGTCGCGTCGCGTCGCACTAATGTGTCGTCCGGTGTTCGACAATTTACTACTCTCTGTATCTATTTTAATTCCGTCATCGGCGGCATTTTACTTTGCGCGGCCGCGCAAATTCCGTCGCTCCGGCCCGATTTATTTCCGGTGCTTTCGGCTTTTCGCGCTCCCTCTTTTCTCGCGAAGAAATCGGCGCGCTCCTTCCTAAAGTCGGCCGATTTATTGGAAGAATAACACGCCGACTCCCCCGCATACGCATTTATATATTCCGAGGGACTTGGCCGCATTTGTACCATCGACGACGATCCGGGTGTAAACGAGCCTTTGACGGGAGCCCGATGGCGAGAGAGGGTAAGACGGTATACTCTCCTCGAGACGGCGCCGGCGACCTGGAGTCGCAGACCTCGTTAGCGGAAAAATCGAAGGCATATAGCACAGCGTCTTCCTCCTTTCTTTTTTCTCATCGAAAGATATTTTCTCGTTACTTAACCGCGTAACCCGTATAGCGTTATATTTATCCGCATCTTTATGAATGGTATATGATTAAGTAAATTATACGTGTAGTAGCGAGATACGTATACTCAATTTAGTACATCATTCTGGGACAAAGAATCGACCGAAAGAAAGAATTCCGAGAATAGAATTGAGAAAAGATAAACTAAACAATTATTAAGAAATCGAAATGTGTTGCAAATACAACAAACGATGAAAGATGGACTGGATAGATGAAAATAAAAGTTTTGTATGATTTAGAGATTCTTGGAATTGTCTTCTCGCCGTTTTTTGTAATAGTAGGTATAAACCGCTATAACTAGATTGACATAATCGTCGACAGGAAATGAGTTGAACGGCAATGTTTCGCCAATAGCGTGCAATGTATGTGTTCCGTTCGATCGACATTCAATTGCAATGACTCAATTGCGGCGTGCGGTCATTAAGTATTTTGAAGTGCAGTAGACGGGGAGAGCTTGAATTCCTCGTTTGGTTTACTGTACATGCAACATTAACCAGAGCCTCTCCTCCCCTGCTCGTTGTACATTTCTTTATCGACCTCCGTCGAGAGACAGTAAAAGCCGGAGTTGGGTTATCGGGAATGACACTTGGTTACAATTTAATGAGGTCGCGTCAGAGGCTTAACAGTCTGTTCGTCGATCGCTTCTTGCTGCACAAACGGATCGAGTGTCTGCGATAAAAAGAATTATGAATGTGAGTACAATGATTTCTTTCACATATAAATAATTTATAGAAATCTAGGCTCAGTTGATCGTTCTTCTGGTTCTATTAGCGGGAGTTGTGCGAAACAATGCGAATTGCAATGTGCGGTGAAAAAAAAAATATATCAAGATGTTTTAAAATAGAATACTAAAATAGAATGTTTGCAATCTTAATAACAACTTTAAAGAATTTTCTAGAATCTCAGAACTTTGCTTTAATAATAGATTTTTACATGGATAATTAATTCATTTTATTGCATAATTACAAAAGTAAATTGTATGCGTGACAGTTGTTTTGCGTTAACACTAATGCTTAGCTTTCTGCACAGTATTATTAATTTATCGAATTCTTGCCGTACATGCATACATTCAAACGAATGTAAGCGATACGACGCATATATGTAGATGAATCACGCGAAATATCGTACTGACAGATAATAATAATTGATTTTAATGTTTTCTTGATGCAGAATAAAATATTATTTTAATATATGTATATTATAAGTTTTTTACGCAAAGAATCGCAAAAACATAAATTTTAAGGCAGAATAAAATTATATCATGTTATTTTGAATCTTTATATATAAATTAGACGAATAGCGCGTGGAATGATAATTCGCGCAAAGGTTAAAAGTCTCCGCTAAAAAAAGAAAGAACGGTGGGAGAGTTGTGGAAAGCGGAGCGAGGGG